TTAGGGTTCAGGGTTATGGTAGCACTCTGTTCTTTAGAATCCCACCTTTCAGAGATCTTCAGGATGCTTCGTCAGGGCTTAGCGCTGCAACAGACAACCAGCCCAGCCGCCCAGTCCGCTGGCCGCTGGATACCTGAGCCCAGAGAGCCCAATATCCCCTAAATTAAGGAAAGAGCTGAATAGCTGAACTGATAGTATGAATCCACTTATCTCTTGAGATGTATTCCTTCATTACGAAATATATTGGGCTGGTTCAGGGTTCGGGTGGCGGGCAGTGTGTTTCTATATACTCCATACTATCCTACATGCACGACCCCAAGAGCGTGGCACGTGTCGATACGCCAAAGACGAGGCCCCGTGGCAGCTGAAAGACTGAGCAAAGATTGCAAGAGGCATGAACCTTCCTATGACCCAAACCCTACAAAATAGTAGGTTATGACCCCTTAATTAGAGGGTGGACCCCCATAAAAACGGTAGGTTTTTGGATCCCCAGATTCGACCCCAAGGCAAACATCAAATAGACCTGACCAGAAGGGCCTTAGCTCCCACCCGGCTGCGGGAAAGACGCGGCATCTCATGCTCAAGAGCATCTTCAGCAGTTTAGGGTTTAGGGTTTAGGGATTCAGGAGCCATACCTTAGCCGGAACCCTGACTCCTAAAGTCCCTGAGAACAACCCAGAGAGCCCAATACCCCTTAGTTTAGGGAATATACCTTAACTTAACTTATAAGGGGCTTCATATTATGGTTTACGCTATATTCCTTAATTGAGGGGTATTGGGCTCTCTGGGAACAAAGCAAGCTCAAAGGCTATGACTACGCCATCAGCCGTGAGGACAAGAACGCAGAGGGCCAGAAAATGCAACCTTGCCTTCTTTCGATGTTCGATGTTTGGGCTTAGGGGGGGTTCGGATTTTAGGGTTTAGGGGTTTAGGGTTTTACGGTTTCCGGGCTTTGGGTTGGAGGGTTTAGGCTTTAGGGTTTATGGATGTGGTTCAAGAATCTTAATCTAGTTATCTCGAATGACCAGGGTTCAATCGCAAGCCCAACCAAGACGACGATTCAGGCATAAGATTCAAATGAGATTGGTTTGGGGCAACCCTCAACCCTAAACCTCAAACCCTCAACCGGCTTTACCTGGCCGTTAAGCTCTGAGCCCGAAGCCACCAAAGCAACTGCAGCTTTCGTGGGTCGGTGGCACGTAATGTAGGGGCCTAAATAGTCATCAATACTATTTTTGGGGGGGTTCTTTTTTATAATCATAATCATAGTATAATGGGCCCCAAAACCCGATTCTAATTGTGAAGGCCCCTATATTGGGAGCTTGTGCCTCACACAGCCCAGGTATATTCAGACAAAGATGGCTGAGTATGCGGACTCGCCGCTGCATGAAGCTTTGGGTATAAGGTTTACTGAAGCCCCAAACCCCTTGCGTAACAACGACTTTCTTATTTTGTGATCCTAAACCCTAAACCCTAAACCCTAATCCGTGCAAGCCCCAAGCCCCTAACTCGAACCAGTCACAGTTGGACCAGTTGAACCCCACATGGTTAAAGAACGGATGTATATTGAATTTGTTGTTTAGGGGTCTAGATTGTATGATGTTCATGTCTAGTGAACTTGCCTTAGTTACTTTGAACTTACTTTTAGGGTTTTTGGTTGGTGGCTCAAGATTTGAATCTTTGCTGGTTTCACGAGTCGCTCAGAAGGTGTCCAGAACCGGAGATACCGGTCAGGGCTGCAGCCGGTAAAGTCCTAAACCCTAAACCCTCCCTTAAGGCTTAAAGGACGAAAAGAACCTTAAAAGTAGGGGCCCTATACCCTTGTGCTTATGCTATGAACCCCTATATGGTATATGAACCTTAAGCCCTTCTAGGGCTCTTTTCCTCCTTAAGTGGTCTGAACCCTCCAGCTCCATAGCTACACCGCTGCATGCGTACTGGCGATGCAAGGACGAGCTGTGGGAGCTCATGCAGAACGAGAAGACCCACGTGTACATGTGTGGCTTGAAAGGCTGGGCTTAGGGTTTTAGGGTTTAGGGTTTGGGGGGGGCTTGTGATGTTCGGACTGTAAGCGTTATATGTTCAGTCCCTGAGCCCGAAGCCCTAAACCCTGAAGCATGTTGCAGTGGCGGAAGTGAAGCCTCCAAGATCGTAACCATCTTGAAAGGTCACGTAAAGCAGTCCCTGTCAGGCGTTTAGGGTTTAGGTTTGGGGTTTAGGGCTTTTTAGGGGTATATGCACAGGACCGATTCATTCTCAAATCTGCGGCAACACGAACAGAAGGCTAGCCGGCACTGGTTGATAGTAGTCACTGGAGGTTAGATCCCTCACTCGGGACTTCATGAGCTCGACATTGATGCCATCATAGCTTCTGATGATGCAACTGCCTTTGCAGCAAACAAGACCTTGCCTATGCAATGGGGCGTAATGAAATTTTTTAGACACCGTATAACAGGCATCAGCCCCTTCTCTACTCCATTGACTCATAGATCCCTCTTAGCTAACCCTAAGGGTGGTTACCAACTATGCATGATTAAGTACTTGAGTTTAGCAAAGTAGCCAAGACTATTAACTTTAGGTAAGTATTCTGGTGAGAATATGATGACTGGGTAGATGGACCCTTAGGATATCCAGAGACTCCAAAGCTCTAGCTAAACATATGAATAGATTTGTAGAAGGATCCTTCACATCAGTGAAGTGCACTTCCGTAAGGAAGGGTACTGCCCGTGCACCTTTAGGGTAAGTGCGAGGCATGGAGAGTGGCATGGCCGAGTGCTTCGGGCCTATCGCGGAGAAGAACGGCAAGGACAAGTAGTAGGGCTTCTGTGTTAGTGTTTTTGCCGCCGGAGGATTCGTCCACATCAGCAAACCGTACAATTGATTTCTCACCTCACCNNCCCCCCCCCCCCCCCCCCCCTCCATAAAAAAACTGATATCTTCAATCCCCGCAGCCGCCGACATGCTGAATCCGTACAGACCAGTTTCTACAACGTGCACAGCCCTTGTACCGCCCGTATACCCTGAGACTCACATAGCCCAACGTAGGTGATACTTGTAGGCTTTAGACCCCAAAGTGGGTACTACCCGTCTACTTGGAGTTTTCGGGATATATCCCGCCTAAGCCCTAAACCCAAAGGCCTGAACCCGAGCCCCCAAACCTGATACACCCCAGAAGTCTGGCACCCACACCCCAAAAATCCTTAACAGAGCTGCCCGAAAAATGTTGTTGAATATCGCTCCTAATGAATTTGGTCTCCTTATTATATAGCTGTAGTCGAATTATAAGATATCCCCTAAAGCGATTGTGATTATTACGGCCCTTATATGATCCGTTTTTGTGACCCGTACCGGAACCCTGTTAAACCCCCCTAAACCCTAAACCCTAAACCCTAAACCCTAAACCCCAAACCCTAAACCCTAAACCCTAAACCTGAAGCGCCCGAAAGTGAGACAGGATTGGGCTGAGTTCGCCAAGGCGATGAAGAAGGCTCGTGGGGGTCTTGTTTTTTTCGTTAGGGTTTAGGGTTTAGGGTTTAGGGTTTTTGTTCCGGGTTTGGGGTCTAGGGAGTTCGGGGTTCAGGGCTTAATGTGAGTTCGGGGTTCAGGGTTTGGGGGTATGCAGTGTACATATCCTTGTTTAAGGAGTAGGAAAGCACGACCTTATTGGCTTCATGAAAGGGGCTGCTACTCCTTTGATCGCTGGACAAGATGGTCCAGCGGAACAGACAGTCCCATTTGAAGCTGTCCATCACGTGTTTGAAAAGCGCCATCATTGAAGAGGTTCTGCAGGACGAGAGGTTTGGATAACACAACAAAGTGGGTTTTGAAAAGCTCATACGGTTCTGTAAGATCCGCAGAAGGTTTGGAAGCTTTATTTGCATGAGAGCTTTTCGCACTGGCAAGTTGGAATGAGGTTTGCTATAGTTCTCTGTTTTCCTGATACAAACTTGCACGCCCTAAACACTGAACCCTTAAACTCGGACCCTCGCAGCCCTGAGCGTCCTAACGGCCCTAAGCCAAAACAGTCGTCGGATCCTCCCGAAACTACGGTATTGTGTAAGTTTGAGGAAAGCCCCTGATCTTGAGCTTGAATATCTGGTTCGGTGTGTTTCGGGTGTAATTACGTGGGGTTTCAGAGTTCATTTATAGGGTCTGTGGGTTTGGGTTTAGGCTATGCGCGGTTCTGCCCTGTATTCGCCCCATATTTAAGGCAACGTACGATTCCTCTTGATTCTGGTCCAGTCTGCGTGCGTTATCCACTTCTTTATTGCTTGTGAAGCTCAAACCTTAAAGCCCCAGCAGCCGCATCCCTTAACCTTCAAAAAACCCCTAACCCCGACCCCAAACCCTTCGACCCTGATCCCTCGAAGCGAGAACCTCCTAGACCCTAAAACCCTAAACCCTAGACCCCAAACCCTAAAGCCCTAAACCCTAAAACCCCAAACCCTAAAACCCTAAAGCCTTAAAGCCTTAAAACCCTAAAACCCTAAACCCGAAACCCTAAAACCCCAAAGCCCTAAGAGCCCGCAATCAGGCAGACCGCTATCACGTGGAAGTCTACTGAGCTCTTCTGCCGCCTGCAGGGCAGAAACCCTAACAGAGAGGAGGCTTAAGTTAGGGACTCAAACACTTAGTTCCCCTTGCTGGGGTTTAGGGTTTAGGGTTCAGGAATTAGGATTTAGGGTTTAGGGTTTGGGGTTTAGGGTTTAGGGTTTAGTTTAGGGTTGAGGGCTGTAACTTAGTTCCCCAAATACCCAACCTTCAGACTTGCTGGTCTCTTGTTCTTGTAGTACTCTGAAAGGTTTTCCCTTTGGCTTTCCTGGCTTATTGGGGAAGTAAGAGTCAGAAACCCTAACCGAGAGGAGCCTTAATTTAGGGACTCCAAAAGGACGGAAGTATAAGCATGTTACAGGGATGTCCCTACCTCATTGGCCTTATTGGGCTTCGCCATGAAGGGGGGTTTATATGGGATATCCCTATCCTAGTTGTTTGCTTCTGTGCTTTGTTGAGGCCTTATTTATTAACAGTTGGAAGAAGGTAGGTTCTTTTCGGGTGTAGGGTTTAGCTTTAAGTCTCCTTAAGAGGTGTGTTCAAAGGAGACTGTGTGACGGTTATTACAGGGATTTTGTTTTGGGGCTTTGGGTTCAGTGGTGAAGGGCTTAGGAAGTTTAGGCGTTTGACTTTGACGCCCTTACTTGAAGGCTCATGGGACTCAGCAAGTAGGGCTGTAATTAGGAGAACCGTACTTAGGGTACTTATAAAACCACAACTTATAACCCCGCTTACTAAGTCCCTTGAGCCCGAAACCCTAAATCCTAAACCCTACTACTAAATCCCCTAAGCCCTTAAGTAGGGTTTAGGGGCTCACCGACAGTTTGGGGGTTCACTAGAGAGTTCCTTTTGATTCTCGTAGGGTTCCTTTACAGGGCTCCTTTCGGGGTTTAGGGTTTAGGGTTTAGGGTGCAGGGCTCCTTGCAGGGTCTCCATCAGGGGTTTAAGACTGTGGTTGGTATAGTTAAGAGCCTTCATAATTGCAAGATGGTTTGGGGGGTGTATTGTCGTACATGTACATCATACGGACTATAAGGGGATGCTGTTTCAAGTTGTTCCGAAGGGGATGCTGATACAAATTGTTCCGACACCTACATCAACCAAACCAACTGCAGCTGCCCCAAGCAAACATATCCCCTGTGTTCTCCTTACATATTATCGTACTTTGTGTATATAGCCCAAAAGTCTGTTCTGATACTTAGGGTGCCGAAATCAAGCTCTAACCTTTAAACCTCTTCGAAGCCCAAGACGCAGAGAGCCCAACGCCCCTTAATTAAGGAGCATACCTAAAATGATGAGGGGCTTCGTATTATGACGTAAGGTATAGTATATTCCCTAAGTAAGGGGTATTGGCAACCCTAAACCCTAAACCCTAAACCCTACGGTATTGGGCTCTCTGGGGAAGCCCTGACGGTCTGCAGACTCGTCACGGAGGCGCGAGCCTCTCCCAGATGCGTTTTCCGCACAGCGCGGGAGCAGTGCAAAGCCGAGGAATCGGTCGCTGTAGGAGTTTAGGGTTTAGGGTTTAGGGTTTAGGGTTTCGGTAGGGTCCATGGGGCTCCTTTAGGGCTTAGTAGCTGAGCAGGTAACCTTTAAGCGTTTGGGGTTCATATAATCCTACCATAATTGAAAAGGTTAACTTTTTTGGGGATAGGGTACTCACCCCCTAAGAAGGAGTTTCTCAAAAAGGGATTCATGAGTCTTGGTAGGGGGGTTTGAGTGCCTTCTCAAGGTTGCATAGGACTGTACAAGGTTTACTTTTGTTTCTTTGCCAAAGAATTCGCAAGGCTTCTATCTATGTATATAAATATATACCATCATTAGAAGGTCTTGTCTATAGGCGGTGTTAAGTTTCGGGGGGCTTATACAACTGTGGTGTCTGGTGGAAATAGGGGTTTTAGGGCTCAGAGCTGTGCGGTGTCAGGACTTCAGGACTTAAGCTTTAGGCATGTTGTGTTGACGGCCGAGAAAGACCTCAACTTTGCACATGCTCCCCCAACTGGTTTAAACAAGCGCTCCCCTGCAGTTCATGGTAGGGAAGCAGTGCCGCGTCGCATTCTCCCTCAGGCGACGGGCGCACACTGACATCAAAACAGTGCGCGAGCTATGGATTTGTAAAGCATCAAATACGTGCGTGGGGTTTGACTGCAAGGATTTCCTCCCATTGGTCCGATTTCTGGCACGCCGTGCATATTACGAAAGTTGCATGCGGCTCGACAGTATATACCATGCCACCTTTCGGAGGCTGCAATATAGTCCTTGAAGCAGCCATACGGCATATTGATTTTTCTGCGCTTGTTGCAAGCTCTTGCCAACGGCCACCAGAAAGGGGCAAGATTCGCGTTCTCTATTGTAAGTATAGTATACAAGCCCCGAGCCCATCCCACTTTTAAGGCCTGTATATTAAACTCGAGACCCCGGCGAAACACAGACCAAAGCCTCGGCATGGGTGAGATGGAATATCGGTTTAAATGGGGTTTAGGGTTTAGGGGATTAGGGTTTATACAGTTTCGGCTTTAGGGTTAGGTCACTGTTATAGGTCATCTATACTGAGCCCTTGACCACAGTTTGGCCGGTGTTGCGCACTGATCCTGCCAAGCTGCGTTGCAGCGTTTAGGGCTTAGGGTAGGGGCGCAGGGGAGGCGGTTGATATCATATTTTACTCAAACCCAAACTGTAGTCTTTGGCACGGGCCATCACGGGCCCAAGGAGGAAACCCACGAACTGGACTTTGCAAGCACAGGCTTGTGAGGATCAGCTTCTGCAGCTCTGCGGGCAAAAAAGTGCGGGAACACCTAACGAACCCGAAACCCTAAACCCCAAAACCCTGAACCCTAAACCCTCAACCGTGTTACTGTGGAGGGTTTATTTCAGACCAGAGTCTAGAATGATCAGTAATACTCGTCCTTAGGGTTTCCTGCTACAACTATTCTTTAAGATACCCCACAGCTGTTGTCCAGTAATTCCCGTATCAAAACCTTCATGTCTTCGTGTTGAGACTTAGATCTCTGAGGCCTCGAAGACCGAATCCCACTCCGTCAGATAGGGGCCCAAACATCAAATTCCGTCCGTGTAATAACCTTACCGAAGGGTCCATGTACCCAAAATAGCATTTATATACATTTGGCATCCGAAGTAGTTCCTTTGTAGGTACTTTGGGGCCGAAGTAATATAGGGGCCTAAATAATTACCAATCCTACTTTGGGGGTTCATTGTTATAACTATAGTATACTGGGCCCCAAAACCCTATGCTAATCATTAAGGCCCCTATGTTATATACTGCTTGGCTACATGTACCGTTTGGGCTGACCTCACTTGCTTGCTTAAAGCCGGTTTCGGGTTTAGGGTTTTGGGTTTAGGGTTTAGGTGTATCCGAAACCTGAGAGGGTGTCTGTATATGTGCTTTTGGCGTCCCTGTTTGAAAGAAATACTCAGTTCAACATAAGAGTCAGAGTCTTCCTTCCGACGAAGGAGCACTTGTCAAAGTAGCTTTAAAGCCCTTTTTAAAGAAGCAAGTTACTGTAGAAGCCGAAATAATTACCGAGACTATTTTGGGGTCTCCTTATTATATTTATGGTATCATATACCCAAAAGCCCTTTTCTAGTTATTAAGGCCCCCCCCCATTTTAGAGTCTACGGTTTGGGTCTGAAAACTTATGGTTTCAGATTGGCCCCTACGGATTTTGCATTGAGGATGTTTTCACCAAAGCCTTGGCAAAGCCCTAAACCGTAAACCCTAAACCCTAAACCCTTAAACCCTAAACCCTGAACCCCAAACCCTAAACCCTAAACCCTAAAAAGCCCAACATGGGATCTTGGCCGATCAAGGCCCATGTTTGTTTGCACCCCCGAGTCCTCAAACCTTTCACTGTCTTTATTAGAGCTTTATCTCTTAACCATAGGCCCCATAGTAGTTCCTTTTTGGGATGACCTTCAAGGATTCTAAATATGAACCCCAAAAAGGAAATACTATGGGGCCTATGGGTAGAGACGTAGAGTCAGCAGGCCGAAAGCTGACGTCAATGAACAGCATTAGCGGCAACACTTCTCCAAACCGAAGTGGCACGATAACAATGCTCCTTACCCGCAAGCCCTAAACCCTAGACCCTTAACCCTAAACCCTAAACCCTATACCCTAAACCCTAAACCCTGAACCCTAAACCCTAACCCCTAAACCCTAAACCCCAGGGCCCCACCCCCACTTACCTGAAAGCCTTAGGCCCTGATAGGAGTTCGTTGACCTCTCGGAGTCTCCGGAGGGCTATACCCTACCTTGAGGGCTCAAGGGAGTTTAGGAGTTTAGGGGTTTAGGGGTTTAGGGGTTTAGGGGTTTAGGGTTTAGGGGTTTAGGGTTTAGGGTTTAGGGTTTAGGGGTTTAGGGTTTAGGGGTTTAGGGTTTAGGGGAGTTAGGAGGCCGGGAAATAATGGGCGTTGCAAGCGCCATGAGTACGATTTAGGGTTTGGGGTTCAGGGTTTTGTAACCTTCCCTACTTGTAACCTTACTAAGTCCCATGAGCATTTAAGTAAACCCTGAACCGTGAGGCCATGGTCCATTGCTTGTCTGAGCCTCGCGCTGGTCCAGTGCAGGTGGGGGACGCTGCTTCCTGTGTTTTTTTGTGTTTAATGGTTATCGCTAGGGTGCTACACTCTGCTTCCCGCCAAGATCCTAAATCCCTTCAGCCCAAACACAACACTATTGTCTAGGACATTTTCAGGTGGGTAGTTACCGTTATAGGAGCCTTACAGTAGGTCTATATACCTCATGGGAAGCCTTATAGAAGCCCTATATACCCTAAACTCCCCACCTGTAGTTGCCTTTAACATTGTCTGATCATTAGGACCAGGCCCCATTTCAAACCCCACAAAGGCCCACCAAAACGCTGTAAAACACCAATGACCGTCAGCCCACCGGTAAGACCCTGAAAGAAACAAACTTCTATCGAAACATGCTAACTGTATAGAACCTCTAAGCCCTAAGCTTCGGGCTAAACTTTAAACCCAAAACCTTTAATT